AAAACATAGTTCTACTAATTATCCTGTAAACAAGATAAGTTAGGTACAATATTTTTATACTCAGGATATTCAGTGTCTTAGTAATCATTTAAAACTGATCTTGCTGATAAGGAAACAGAGCCAGGGAGAGTATGGCTCCTTTGGCAGCTGATCATTGGAGAAAGGGCATGGACTCTGATGTCCTGACTGTCCGTTCGGAGCCTCGCACACTGCAGCACCGTACCCCTTGGCTCCATCCTGCTGCCTCAGGCTGCCTTACCCACCCTCTTTACTCAGAAGGTTTTTTCTGACAGGGCCAAACTTTGCATTTCACTTCTCTAGTGCATCAAAGAAAGGCCATCTCTAAGTACCTGCAATATTTAGGCCTTTTCCCAAACTATGTCTACTTTTGCTATTTCACTACTTCAAAAATATTCTTCGAGCATCTACTCTGTGCCATGTGCGTATAACATGTTTGTGTGCTAATGAGAGTAACTCAATGTGTATCAAGTGCTGTTGCGTTGAGTCGGCTCTGGTTCCTGGCAACCTCATGAATGAGAGGTCCACAGTGTCCTGTCCTCACAGCCCTGCTCAGCTCCTGGAGACTCCTGCCTAGGGCTTCTTTTATGGAGTCACTCCATCTTATATTTGGTCTTCCTCTTTTGCTGCTGCCTTCTATTTTTCCCAGCATTGTTGTTTTTTCCTAAGAACCCTGCCCTCTCAAAGTAGGATAGCTTTCATTTTGTCATTTTTGTCTCCAGTGATGTTTCAGGCTTAATTTGCTCAAGACCCACTTTTTTTTTTTCTGGTGGTCCAGGGTTTCCATAGAGCTCTCTTCCAATATCATATATTAAATGAATCATTTTTTTTTCCTATCAGCCTGTCCAACTTCTGCACTGATATATAGTCACTGGTAATACGAGGGTGTGGGTGATCTTAGCCTTGGTCTCTAATGATACATCTTTACCCTTGGTGATCTCAGTAGAACCCTCAGAGGGTGGTTAATTAATGATGCAAGAAAGAAGGACGCACTTTCGTTGAGTCAGAGGGGTGAAACGCATGTACAAGTCCATCCATCACTGGAGGGGAAAACAGTGTGAGGAACAGACAAGGTGGCTGACAGATGTGCTGGTCTGAGCATGGGGGTGTTTACTTCTAACCTAATAGCTTGTGTGAATTTTTTTCTGAGGAAAATAAAAGAAGTCATCAGCTATGTGAGAATGGGAAAGAGAGTACCGGAAGTTTGAGAAGAAAGAAAATGTTGTGAAATATACTTTAGGAGAGTGAAAGAGTCTTCCCACTGCTCTTCCTCCTCTTCGTGTCACTCATCTTAAGAAAAAGGAACCTCAGGATAGACATACGCTTGATCTTAGCCCACAGGCCGAGAAGCAATCTTCAGGATAGCCATAGATGACAATATGATAAGCAATCCTTAAAATAAAATTCCATGTGCATATATACATATGTATAATTTTCAATAGTTTCAAATATATGATGTGTCTATACATACATAAATATGAAATTTGGTTTTATTAAATATGATACTCGTTAATTACAAAATGTTAAACTCAGGAATAAAATGCTCCTCAAGATATTTAAAAAACAAATTATATTTTGGTGGCGCATGCATTGACTTTTAGATTCTTGTAATTGACTCCTTTATTTTTTTGAATTTTTATGCAGAGACCTTTGAAAGTTGAATCATCCAGACCAGTGGTTTTTAAACCTAAGCATGCATCAGAATTACTTGGAGGGCTTACTACCAGAACACAGATTACTGGGCTGCACTCCCAGAATCCTAACTTCGTATAGTTGGGTTTGGGCCCGAGAATCTGCATTTCTTACAAGTTCCCAGCTGACACTGATGCTGCTAGCCCAGGGACCACACTTGTGAACTGCTAATTTAGAGTCACAGGATCTTATTGGTCTTCCAGTGTATAAGAGCAAAAGGGACCTGGGGGAGATATTAAGAAGGTGGATAGGTCTAAACAGGGAACTAGAGAAAAAAATATAACATACTTGCTATTGCCTGGATGGAGACCTAGATTTTGAATAGCTTTCAATCTTCATTTCTTGCTTTATTCTCCAGCCACTTGCCTTTCTATCATTTCCTGGAAGAAATAAACTCTAATTAGAGGAGACCCTAGAGACAAGATAGGATTTCCTTTTGTTAGAAAATGCTAAACACTCACTGATAATAAAAGCCTTTTCTCCTGCAATTTCCAAGGTAGCTCCTAACATTTCTCAATATACAGACTATTACAGAAAATGCTCTACTGATAGAGAGAGGAGCCATTGTTTTAGCAGCCTACACCAGCTGCCATCTTATGTATGACCCCTATTCCAGTTGTCTTGCAGGGATGTAGGCTGTGGCCTTAAATTCCCCCACCACCTACTCTTCTCCCTTTGCTCCTGCTTGCCAACGGAGGCCTAAGAGGCCTCTCGGGGCTGTTCAATCCATTTGTCAGGAGCACATGAAGTAAATATGCCACTTATCTCAGCCCATTACAAGAGCTTCTGCCAAAGGGCCATCAGCACTGCAGCTTCTTGGGCGTCTTATTTAATTTCAGCTCCCTCCACAACTTTATGTTTTGTTTAGCGTCAAGTATACAGTTCTCACATAATAAATGTTGACTGATAACTTGACCAATGTCTGGAGTAATGCAAATGGGGATGTTTGTAATTTCAACATAGAAAGTAGGAACTGAGGAAGGTAGGCTATTTCATAGACAATATCAAGAATCTATTACGTAGATCAAATCATAACGTAGCTCATTTTATAAATTGCTTGCGTGACAAAAGTTCTACAAGATAATATATGTTCATTGTATTTATTAAAGCAAAAAGACAAAAATTATAGCACCTGTAATGCTATAAATAAATATAAATACTGTAATACCATAAATAGATTCAGCTTTGGCTTTGGCAACCATCCTTTCCGATACAGGCACACACACATATACACGCACACATATGTGCACACATGCACAAATACACACATCTGTGATCAAAGCAGACATGCTTTTTGTGACCTGTTTTTTGTTTTTTACTTGATTTATTGTGAACAGCTTTCCACATTTTAAATAAAACAGCCTCATTTTAAATTACTGCTTATGTAGTCTTTCATCTGAATGCACCATAGTTTATTTCTTATGGAACTGGTCTCCCTATTGATGGATATTTCTTCCTGACTTCTTACCTTTATAGTAATGCCACACTTAATCATGTCGTAGCTAAATTGTTAACTCCATCTTTAGTAATTCCTTACTTTGAAAGCATATTTATTATATATTAATAGTATTTGTTTTATATGGTGCCGTGTTTTCCTGATTTGCCCTTTGCATTTCAATTCTATTTATGGATTGCTTTTAACCTTTAGATATTTTAGATGTTTAGATTTGTACATAGTCAGATCTATCAATGGTTTTCTTTCTTGTTTTTATTTGTGTCATCATGGCAAAGCAATATTTTATATCAGGGCTTTCCCAAAGTAAAATCTAAAAAAAATATTTTGGTTCTTCTAAATAGACTTTTGTTATGGTTTGCCATTTATTGATTAGCTATTGCTTAACCCGGGGTTTACAATACAATTCCATTTTAGCTAAGAATTGTTCCCTGAGATGACCCCAGGGCTTCCAATGAAGAGAGGTGGAAGATGGCACACCTTTGGGTGAAGATACATTTTAAAGATTTTTTTTTTTTTTTTGGGGAATTGGGGGAAGGAGAACAGACAAGTTGCTGTCCTTTTGTTCTTCAGTCTAGTTGTGGAGGACGTTGCTTCACTGGCCCAAGTTGGCACCATCATTGTGCTCTTCCCAGGCGAGGCAGATCAGTCGCCGGCTTCTGGACAGCCGCTCATGGTGGCTGCTGGCTGCTCACATTGGCTGCCGGCCACACACGGTAGCTTTATAACAGCTCACTGCAGCAGGGGCTGCAGCCTACGCCATCGCCAGTGACTCATGGCAGCCCAGCTCCAAGTTGAGCTGTTATTCAGCATCTTAGCTGTAGAGGGCAGTGTCACTGGCCCTCATATGTGGGATCCGAACCCAGGCACTCTGGCATCCCAAGCCAGTTCTTAACCAACGCGCCACTTGGCCGGCCCTGAAGATACATTTTAGTTCCAATTATGACGGGACCTTAAAAAATAGGTTTGAAAGATGATATAAAATAGAGGTTAACAACTCCTTGTGAAGGCAAAAATACCAGGATTCAAAAGCTCATTCTGCTGCTTACATTGGGTGAATTAACTGTGGGAAGACGATGACACTTGTTTCACAAGGCTGTTAGAATTCAGTGTGATAATTCATGGAAAGCACCTTGCATGTTTGGTATAGGGAGGTAGAAGAGGGTAAACAGGGTCAAATATATAGTGATGGAAGGAGAACTGACTCTGGGTGGTGAACATACAATGTGATATATAGATGATGTATTACAGAATTGTGCATTTGAAACCTGTAATTTTACTAACCACTGTCACCCTAATAAATTTTAATTAAAAAAAAAGAAGTTACTTCCAAATTTCAAGTGTCTTAAATGTAGAGAGATCAGTTAATTTTGCCGTGCCATTACACAGACTGTTGAATAAAGTGAGGGGTCATTCCCAGCACTTGAGTCTGAACTCTTTGAAAGCAGAAAATTTTATGTTGTTAATATCTATATTCCTAGCACCTCTCACAGGACTGACACATTTAGTAGTTGTCAAATGAATTAATAAGTTTAACTTATAAGTTCAACTACCTACAATGTTCATTTATGTTTTTCTTTATGAGTCATGAATTGAATATTTTGGTTAAATACATATTATCTTATCATTAGGAAGGGTATATCTATTTGAATGGAATAATTGAATCTATTGTTTTGGAGAAGGGTTGAGGGATCATAGAGCCTTGAATAAAGCGATATTGAGCTGAGAGCACCTATTCAGCTACTGTTGAAACAAAACAGAGTGAATTAGAGTACATTTGGGAGAACATCATATGGTAGATAGTACATATTGGGTATAAATTGATTGCAGTATGGAATAGTAGTTTTTTGTGTGAAAACATGCATAGTAACAATACAATGATTTTATTCTTACGAGTATAAACATCAGACTCCCTTTTAAGGGTTTCATTCGTGTTGAGGCTGTAATCTATCTAGTACTTTTAAAATCTCTCTTTCTATTTGCAATTTCTTTATATCAGTGCCTTTATATTATGTAGAGAGATAAGTAAGAGATTTTTCTGTTTCCACTGAGTGTCCAAAGTGAGAGATGTATGGTTGATATTGCTCAAAAGAATAGGTGGATCAAAGTAAATGAACTTAGATGAGAGTAAGTCATAAGTATTGAGCAAATATGAAATGATATCAGGAGTTCAAAAAAATAGGTCTACCATGCTGAACAACAAAATAGAAAGTTATGATAAGGTCAAAGATTAATTCATTACTCAACATTTATCAAGACCAGACTGTGGTCAAGGCACTTGACTGAGTCCTGATGGAATATAGAGATGATCAAGTGTAGGCTCCTGTACCCAAAGAACTCACAAGCCAGTAGAAAAGAAAACATTTTATAAATTGTGAAGTATTTAATTATAAAACATGCTGGCTGATCCTTACAGTGCCCTTGCAACTTGAATAAGGCAGGTGTTATTAAGCACATAATGCAGAAAGGTAAAAAAGTGAACAGGTTCAGAGAGGATTTTCCTGAATCATGTAACTTAGTTTTAAGTCCCCAAACTAGGACCTTAACTTTTAATTCAATGCTTATTTAACTGCACTTTGCTAATTTCTTAGGGTCGTAGGTATTTTGGTTGAAAAAAAGTAGTGCAGATGACAATTGAATGTATAAAAATTCCTCCATCACAGGATTTTTAAGTAAGATAATGGTGATATGAGGGCAAGATAGGCAGCTTTTTCTGTATCTTTTAGCACTTCTGTTCACAATTCAGGATGAAAATGGCATTAGATTTTGTAAATCACTGTGATTGGATGGTGTACTCTTACTATTCTTTTGAACAACTCTTATAAGTGTAGAGGGATCCTTGAGAAATAATAGAGTAAGTTTCTGTGAGACAACCAGCTTCCGCAGAAGAGAAGGTTTGAATTGTCTTCCACGTGCTGCTCTCCAAAAACAGTCGGCATCCCAGACAACAGAACCTGAGAGTACCAATACTTAAGAAGCCACGAGACACAGGATGTGCCTGCCAATGCAGACTCATGACAGGATGGAGCTGGGATTCTGAGCAAAAAAAAAAAATAGCAAGAGAGAGATAATCCATCAGGGAAAATAATTCTGGGACCTAACGGAAAAAGTTTCTTATGGCTCAAAAAGGACCACAGAGGAAGAGTAAAGGGATATTTTGCAAAGCCCTCTTGTCTCCAAGTATATTTGTAGTAGGCTGCAAATAAGACCATGTTCTCTATGGGATGAATTAATGGAGACTGCTCAGCTTTTCATTTGTAGCAAGCATGATGTCAGGGTTAGTTTACCAAGAGTTACCGGTACTTAAATTTACGTAAACATTGGAGTTTTAGGTATTTTTTAAGGTTTCTCTATTTAAAATATTGATACAATAAATTAGAAATTGTAGAAGATATCATTTGAGCTCTCTGCCCAGCTCATGTTGATCCCTTTTTCTAAGAAAGCCTCTCTGCAACCATGGAGTTGGCTTTCTACAGCCATGTTTTAGGTAACAAAGTATACTAGCAGTCACTGCATTTTTCTTTCTAACATTAAGCACATACAGTTTTTAAAAGACTAATTTTACTTAACAATCTCTTTGTTAAAGCAGTACAATGCTTAATTTTATTATATCTCACCCCTAGAGTACACATCTTTTTAAGAATTTGTGTGATGAAATGGGAAATATACATAAATCATTTCTGTTGCGTACCAAAAAATGGCATTGAGGCAAAGCCCCTAACTGACCTTGTAATTTAGAAAGATATATTCTCATAGGAAAACTGCAGCTACTAAATAAAGGAGCAATGACAAAATTAGAAAATCGCTATTTTACCATTACTGGTAAACTAATGGATCTAGGCATTGATCATTATCAGCTACAAACCCACAAAAAAGAAATACAACCAGGTATCATGTCCATCCTGAGGGAAGAACACACCACGACCT